CGGACGTCAAGAGAGGGGTCGACAGGGCGACACCATCTCGCCCAAACTCTTCAGCGCCGCTCTCGAGAACGTCATGCGTCAACTGGAATGGGAAGACATGGGAGTGAAGGTCGACGGCCGGCAACTACACCACCTTCGTTTTGCTGACGACATCGTTCTTATAACGCCGAACATCGAGCAAGCGGAGCGAATGCTGGCTGATTTCGACTGCGCCTGTGGTAAGGTCGGTCTACAGCTGAACCTAACGAAGACGATGTTTATGAGAAACGGATTGGTTCCTGATGCCCCATTCACGCTCAACGGAACGAACATCACCGAATGCTCCAGCTACGTGTACCTAGGTCGGGAAATCAATATGATGAACGATCTAGCTCCAGAGCTGAGCAGGAGGAAACGAGCGGCTTGGGGAGCGTATAAGAACATCGAGGGAGTAGTGAAGAAGACGAAGAACATCCGGCTCCGTGCCCACCTCTTCGATTCCGCTGTCCTTCCTGCCCTAACCTACGCCTCAGAGACTTGGACTCTGCGCAGGCAGGACGAGCATGCGGTCAGCGTTATCCAACGCGCTGTCGAGAGGACGATGCTAGGAGTAACCCTATACACGCAAGTGCAGAGGGGAATCCGGAGTGCCGAACTACGCCAACGATCGAAGATCAGGGACGCTGCCGTTTTCGCCAAGGAATCGAAGATAAGGTGGGCCGGACACGTCATGCGATTTTGCGATGACCGTTGGACCAGAGCGGTTACCGACTGGATCCCTCGGACGTCAAACGAACACCTGGACGACCGCCGGCCCGATGGTCAGACTTCTTCACGAAAGGAAATGAACGATTCGTTCCGTGTCCCGAGCAAGGAGGAATACCGTCACTCTTTCACGAAAGCTCTGAACGAAAGGAATGAACGACTTCGTGTCCCTCGAGCGAGGAGGATCCACTGGACCACTCTAGCACGCGACAGGGACGAATGGAGACGTTGCTGGCGCCCGCTCGAGCAATTCGATGATCAACGGGACGACAGGTGATACAGGTGATACTTCAGGCGGAGTCTATCATAGATGAATTTTACATGGTAATCGATGAAAACCAACGGCGCCTTGCTATGAGAATGAGTTGCCCAGGAAGTAATTGCTAAAGCAAGCTTTCCTAATCTTCCATCTTCTTTCCGTCAGACTGAGACTCGGGGAAAACTTTTCCACAAAAACTTCGGACCAAAAAATGCAGAAATACGCGTTACCGAATAAAAAAAACCAGAGCCTTCCACATCTCCTGCATTTCTCAGCTGCAAATAAATGAAGACGGCACACAACAAGAGCACAGGACCGACATTGCTACCTCTCGTTGACAATAAACTTTATTCATGACTTCAAGGTTGCTGTTCATTCAAAGAGTAAAGCACCAGGAGCTGCGAGAATCTCTACTGCATCCTTAACCCAATACAGATGAACGATTTTACCAAAACAGCGACAAAGATTATGAGAAGCCGACTGGGCAACTAGTTATTCTCAAGCAAAACGGAACTAGGCAACATGTTTTATTAGCAAATATTAAAGAAACATTAGGAGGGAAAAGCTGGAGTTTCATCCGGTAGGGGCCACCGCGGTCTAAGCGCTCAACACCTTTAGTACCATGAAAAGCATATTCTTGTACGTAACGCTTAAAAATAAGCCCTAGGGAAGCTCTCGAGTCCATTAGCAATAATCGTTGTGCCAGGGAAATTACGCTCCCCTCGTAGGCTTAGTCCTAGCTACCCTATGTGAGTACTACCTTTCATAGACGTGAAGCCATCCAGCACAAAAGCACACACAGTATATACAAAGAAGTAGAGAAACGAGGCTAATAGCAGTTTGTAAGTTGGACGGACTCCTTGAGCCAAAGTGGCAGTAGAGCAGAGTGCAGCTCTCATTGCATGAGACCCCATAGCTGCTTAAACTGCCCTCTAATATCATAGAAATAGGAAATTTCGCTTACCTTTCCTTTCTCTTTCAGAAGCCGGGGCCACCACTTTGCTTCTTTTTTGGGAATATTCAATTCAATAACCCGAGTATTTGTAGGGGTGCGCTTCATATCGCTGCCGACAATTTCATCGAAAAACTCCAAAGTTGTCTCATAAACTTCGGTGTGGCTCGTGCCTCTGAAATTACACTTCTCACATTTCCATACTTCCCAAAAACACTAAATGAAGATGTTGAGCACCCTAACTTTGCAATTGACCCAGTTTTCTCTGAACAAGTAAAGACGAAGTTGTTGCCAGTTGCCAAAGCTTCAAGTAAACTCACTTGAAATGTAATTTGTTATTATCGGCGGTGAGATCATCAACAGTAACATCATCAATTTCAATTGTGACATATAAAAAGGATTCCCTTTGTGCCCAAATAACCGAAGGCTGACGAACCGCCATTCCTATAAAACGAAAACTTGCAAGGCACAAACAAAAACCTAACAACACACACGTCAGAAACTACACTGTAGAAGCAGTTAGAATATGATGCACTAGAATGTCAACACATTACATCTAACATTGAAAAAATTAACGAGAAATGACCCGCAGGTACAAGCGCTTCCCGAATCGCCCGCTTTTGAAAATGCTCTTTAAAGGGCAAAGACGTTCGAGAAAACGATAGCGTTCCAGGACCAACTTTCGCTACACAAAATGATTCCTTTGAAGTAAGATTGTGCAACACTGCGGTTAAATGTTTGGCCCGATCTCGTGGCGTTGCTATTACTGTGTAAAGTAATGTTGTGTAATATTTTGACTATATAGTAAACGTATAAGAGTTTTGGACCGTGGCTATTTCGGACCTTTTTTGCACATCTATGTCTGTGGTTGAAGGCTATATTCATGCTGTTTCAGATCACTTGGGTGGCAGGCTTTGTTCCGGAAGTTAACATGTCTGAGGAAGAAAAGAAACTCAGCAAAAAGTAAGTAATGCTTCTCAGATACGCTGCTTTTGGGCTTTCTGTCGCCCGTCGTCTCTCAATTCCTCGAGGCATTAGCCGAAGGTCAGTTATCTGACCAAACCGAGTAACCAGAGGCAAATTTTGATGCAAAACACTCACAATAATGTTTCAGTGAGCAGAAGAGGCTGGCTAAACAAGCCCAGAAGGAAAAGGAACGCCTGGAAAAGGAGGCAAAGCGTCTTGCTGGATTGGATCAAGCAAATGCGAAGCCCGAAAAGGTACTCTTCCTTAGTTGGTGGATGAAATCGTTTCCCTAGCAACCGCAATTTGCATCTTGTTAGGACCCTCAGTAAAATTTGTCGTTCGGTAGGTTCTAATTGCGCAAAATGCCTGGCGCACTCTAAAAGGAGTCGATAAATGCCAAGTACTTTACCTTTAGCTTCACTGTGGTAGGGGACACTGTACATTGAATCTGTAATAGTTATCATTGGAAGTTTAAAAAATAAGTCAGTTATTACAAGAATGCTGAGTTAATGGCAAAACTCCTTCTCTACCCCTGCCCACCCGGGGCTTGAACCTGAATCTTGATTCACGGACAAGTTGCCACCACATATGCTTTCGGGCACTATGTGCTTTTGATGGTAATTTCCATAGCTACATACCATAAAAATCAAAAGCTGTCATACCGTAATCGAAAACCAGTAACTTTAGTGTTACCAAAATGAGGGTTTGAAGTACTAGAGTTTACTAGGGTTTAAAGTACTAAAGTTCTGCCGTTGGAGCTCTACTATTGAAATCTATATGGTATTGGCAAGCAAACTGCCAACAATCTTTGTGCCATTTTGAAGCGTGTCTCTTTATCTGAGAGCAGAGTCAAGTTTTGTTCTGAAGCGTTCCAACTTTTTTGGAAGCCTTGAATACAGGCTCGTAGAGCTGGTTTGCACATTTTCTTCTACGAGCCAAAACACAGGAAGGAGCGGAAGCAAACCGAGATATCAAAAATGCGTTAGGCCCTGATTTCCAACAAATACACTGTGAAAGGCTGGTTCAAAAAGCTTTTAGTGAAAGCGAGAATCTCAGAGATGATGTGACGTTGGACGTGGGACGTCGAACATGATTAACTGAGTCTTTATTGGAGGAAATGTGCGTAGGAATACAGAGGAGCTCCCTGAACTGGATGTGGCTGCCTTGTGAATTTCAGAGAAATTCTCGAAAGTCAGAAAGTTTAAAGTGCATGGCGCCACTAATTGTCTTTTTGAAGTGTTCTCTACCCTTCCTTTACCTTCTTTTATGCAACGAAAACGACCAGTTCTTCTGTTGAATAGTGGTTTGCTATTAAGAACAAATTCTTTAAAGAGTATTCAAGACTTCTCTGGATGATTCACCCTTTGATGAAACTTCACAAAACTCAGGCAAGCACTCACGTTAGGAAATTTGCGTGGTTTACGGCTAGACCAGCTCTCCAAAACACAGCACAAGTGGCTACCCATCGAGTACCACTTCTCGTACCATCGGCTTAGCCTCTTTCGAGAGAAATTCTTCGAAACCTGGCATCATGCAACACTAAGGAACAGTATTGATTGGGACTTCATCCTTCTCAAGAAGTTTAAGCTGTTTTTTATTCCGACTGAAAATTTTTTTTCTATTTTTTTTGTGTGCATGTGAAGTTAAGGGGACAAATATGACAGAACTTTTCAGAAGACCTAATATTATTCCCAAAAACTTGAACTTTTTTCTTTGAAAAAATCTCCAATCTACAACTTTTTGCTATGCTTCTTTGCAAGTAAGCTGGCATATAGTACTACAATAACTGACTTTTCTTGTAAATTAATGGTCAGCATCATTTCTCCTAGAAAAGAGCATGTTGCACAATCAGTCGTGACTTTTAAGATCGTCAAGGAAGCAGATCCATCCGATCCGCAAGAGTACTTCAACATGCGAGTGGACATGATCAATAAGAGGCGAGCAGCAGGAGAAAATCCATTTCCTCATAAGGTAACTCTTGTTACTTATCTGAAATCGTGTTTGCTTGAAAGTTTTCTTTCAGTTCAATGTATCCATTTCGCTTGCCGCTTTTGTAGAAAAGTATGAGCGCCTTCAGAAAGAAGAAGTGTTGGACAATGAAACTGTCAGCATCGCCGGTTGGTCGATCATCCATGTTAAATTATGACAGTTGACTTTATATTCTTTATTTAGGTCGTATCTACTCGAAGCGTGAATCTGGAAAGAACCTCGTGTTCTATGATGTGCACAGTGGAGGCACCCGTCTACAGGTATGCTACAGGATCGGATCGTTAGTCGAACATGCTTTACTGTTTCTCAAAGCGCAAACCATTTGTGGTGGCTGTTCCTGTTCTCAACTTTCCCTACAATTCTAACTATTATACTTTCATGCCTACGATTACTAGAAAAGTCGAGCGTAATGTGGAAATGCTGGTTGTTTAGCGCTTGGCTCATGATCACATTTGGGTAACCTTATTTATGAGTGGTTCAGGTGATGGCAAATGCAAGATATCACAAGGCAGGTGCTGATAACTTCACGATGATCCATGACAGAATCAAACGTGGAGACATTGTAGGGTTCACTGGCTTTCCAACCAGGTAATCGGGTTTGCAATGAAAGTTGTTCTTCGGGAAGATCTTTGTGTCATCGGCTGACACGTGAGTACTATTTTGTTTAAGGACCAAAACGGGAGAACTGTCCGTTCTCCCAACTGAGGTCGAACAGCTTACGCCATGTCTTCGAATGCTCCCTCATTCGCATTACGGCTTGAAAGACAAAGAACTGAGGTTGGAAAACGTGTGGCTTTTCTGTTTTCTTCAACGCTGGTTCTCTTTTAAAGGTACCGTATGCGCTATCTGGACCTGATCGTCAATCCGGAAGTAAAGGACAAGTTTGTTGTTCGTAGTAAGCTGGTCACGTTTTTGCGCAGGTATTTGGACAACTTAGGGTTCCTCGAGGTTTGGCTTTCTGCTCTTTCAGCTCTTGCTTCCCCTTAGCTCAAACCACTAGATAGTTTGATTCAGGTCGAAACACCAATAATGAATCAAATAGCCGGTGGCGCCACTGCTAAGCCATTCATAACGCATCACAACGAACTGGATATGGACCTCTTTTTGAGAGTCGCACCAGAACTCTATCACAAGGTAACGTTAAAGTTGTGATTCGCGCTTATGTAATGAATTACTAGTTTTAAGATGCTTGTTGTCGGCGGTATAGATCGTGTTTATGAGATTGGACGATTGTTTCGAAATGAGGGAATTGATATGACGCATAATCCCGAATTCACCACTTGCGAATTTTATATGGCATATGCTGATTACGAAGATGTGATTCGTATAACAGAAGATTTGCTCAGCAGTGAGTAAATAGTCATCATGCAGATATGATCATTGTTCGTGCCCTTCACAGGCTTGATTATTTTATCTCTCATTATAAGCAACGCAGAAATCAAACGGTACACGAAGCTTTGTGATACTTTCATTTATTATTACCTTTTAAGAAATGGTGATGTTCATTCATGGAAAATACAAAATAGTTTATCACCCGAATGGACCTGGAACAGAACCAGCTCTCGAGGTATTTTTTAGTGAATGTAGAATGGTGTATACTATTTTTGATATTTCAAAAATATATATACCAAATACAGTGAAACTACTGCTATTATTTAAGATTGATTTCACTCCACCATTCAAACGTGTGAATATGTACGAGGGGCTAGAAAAAGCGCTGGGTGTCAAGCTGCCACCTCCGGATACCTTGAAGACTGAAGGTTTGCAACTGTTATTTGCGATTTGATTTGTCTATCAAAGTTTTTAAGCACCAATTTTTTGTATCTACAGTTTCTTAGACCTCTTTTGCTGTTTTGTTCCTGTGCATTCCTTTCGATCAATTTTTTCATTAACATGTCATTGTCATGCGTCATTTGTGTGTCATTTCTCGTGCCACTAAATTGGGGTTTTACGCTCTTACAATGCCTAATGTTTCTATCCTAGCTCTCTGATAGCTTCCGACTTTTTCTTATTCGACATATGGCTTCATCGGATCCCTTCAGAGTCCCGCCAAGTGTTTGATCGTTTGTGTCAGGAGAAAGGAGTTGAATGTACTCCGCCTCGCACCACTGCCCGTCTTCTCGATAAATTGGTTGGAGAGTACTTGGAGAGCACATTTGTCTCTCCAACATTCCTTATTGGTCATCCACAGATTATGAGTCCTTTGGCGAAATGGCATAGGTAAGTAAAAACCCGTTTTGTGATTTCTCGTTTCGCGACTTTCGTAATTTAGATCCGTTCCTGGCCTCACTGAAAGGTTTGAGTTATTTGCTGCAATGAGAGAGATAGCAAATGCCTATACCGAGTTGAACGATCCCATCACCCAGCGACTAACTTTTGAGCAGCAGGCTGCGGTATTTCAGTATTTTTTATGTTGTCACAAAATTCTTTTTTATGCGTTTTTTCTCACTTTTCATGTGGGGGGGGGGGACTTTTACTTAGATCTTCTCCCTTTCAATTGCAGGACAAGAGTGCTGGAGATGATGAAGCCCAAATGATTGACGAGAACTTCTGTACTGCTCTTGAGTATGGTCTTCCACCAACTGGAGGTTGGGGAATGGGCATAGATCGACTGGCTATGCTGCTCACGGATAGCAACAACATCAAGGTAATGTTCGGTTTTGGAATTCCAAATCAAGGAAAAAATTCGAAAATAGCTCACAAGTTTACAGCACTCGTTCATTGAACACTTTATTTCACATTTTCAACACGTCTATAAAGCTAAATTTAACGAGCATTCAATTATCCATTGATCAAATAAAATCGAAAAAAGTCTCCTAGCAAGCAGCGTTTTTTTTTCAGGACGTTCTTTTCTTCCCAGCCATGCGGCCGGAAGATCAAAGTCAAAATCCTCTGGCTAATGTTGAAGATTCTCAAACCTGTTAGCTTGGTTGTTTACAATTGTTGTTACTGTTTTGTTAATGGGTGGTTTCTTCAATGTTATTCAATGAATGCTTTATAAAAAAGCCCTGTGCACATGCAGGTGTTGAGGATCACGAAATCATCGGGTCTATGATTCAGTGAGCTTACCATAACCACTTCAAGGCACGATCCTTTATTAGGTACGCTCACCTGCTCCATCCACGATCGTAGTAGTGTGATGTCGCGTCCCTTTGCAGCTTAAAGCAACAGTCCCAGCAGGGTGGGCGTGGTCGGAAACGACTGCAATCCCCTCGGCCGATTCCGACCACGCCCACTTCAGCTCCCTCCCTAGCGGCTTTCCAAGGTGAGTTTTTGTTCAGTCACACTTCTTACGTTCTTGACTAGGGGCTGAACAGCTCCGAAGTGGGAATCGGCCGAGGGGATTGCAGCCGTTTCCGACCACGCCCACCCTGCTGGGACTGTTGCTTTAAGTCGATGACAGGCGCTATACGAACTATTACGGATGGGAAT